TACAGCATCCGCAGTTCTTTTGGTTTTCCTTACAGAACTCTTTCTGTGTACACACAGATTTCATTGCAGCAAAGCATTAAACTTTAACAGTGCATCAGTATGTATGAGCCATGGGGGAACCACAGTCAGAGAGCCTCAATCAACATAGTTCTTAATTAGACGCCAATAAATTAGAGCCAGTATTCAGCCATCCCCTGCAGTTCACAGGTTCAATTTTCAACAGGAAAGCAAGTACAGCACCTTTTATTATCTCAAGATGTCCACCATTGTTTACGGATGATAGCTTTTTCAATACTGTAGTCACTGTGAGGAAAGATGACAGCTAATTTGCATTTAGACAGCACACATCAGACAACTTTGAGGAATATATACAGAGTACTGGGTCAAATATGGTCACAAGATCTTTTTACATTCACTCAAAAGGGCAGATGGTGTTAACATCTCATCTGAAAGATAGCACTTCGAACAATGTACTCCCTCTGTACTGTATTAAAGTGTCAGTCTGGATACCACTGTTGAGCTAATAGCAAATCTTACACTTTGTTTTTCCTTTATTGATGTAAAATTGTTTTATATTTTTCTCTGTTACTGCTATGCATTTCTCAATAACATTCATAGATCCTAGTAGAACAGTACATGCCCTAATTCAATAGCTGTGCCCTGTACTGCAATAATTAAAAAAGGTAGAACATGTCATACAAAACTAGGGCTTATCGGACCAGATTTTCTGCACAAATCCCTAGAAAGCTTACCTATGCTGTTAGTTTATGTATTAGTTGACCAAGATATAATGCCATTTAAGTAGTCCACCCTACCTCAGTCACTTCTCCCCATCTTGAAGAAATACAATGCAAAATAAAATAGACAATGTTCTTAACAACTGCAAAGTTCATCAGTTATATACCTGTATTCACTCAAATACGCAAGACATTTGTGCAAAGATTTTAGACAAAAGTAGATGATCATATAAATGCATGCAAAGAAAGTAGTTTACAGTATCTATCATACCATTATTTCATACTGTGGAAACATTGTATTATTTGCCCTGATTAAGAAAAGATACAACTTTATGTATCTGTCAAAAGAAATGGCTGTATTACAGTGAAATGCCCAGTATACAGCAATTTGTACCCATAGATGAAAACAATTATGATACATGGCTGTCAGTTATATATCCTAAACAGTAAACAATTTGCAATAACCTCTGTCAGAAATCAACTGCTTTTATCTTGGTTTTCAGTTCTTAACAATTTGTCGATGTTGGTTACAGATACATTACTGACAAATGAAGTGTTATTTATGAATATTCATTAGAAGTTTTGAAACAGATTTCAATTTCCCTCATCAGTCTGACATAATCTATTCAGAAAGCAACAGTCTGAAAATCAAAGCCTAAAGCACAGATAGGGATGTAGTTAGAAAAATACATTATTTATAGGTAGTCTATGACTCCATTATTTTCAATCATCCCTGAAAATATATTAAGATCCCCTTATAATTAATTGGGATCTCTTGTAATAATTTTCCTAGAATTTCAGGTTGCATTAAAACAAGACTAAATTAAAACTTAAGACTAAATCTCGCACGCTATGTTACCATGATTGGCACTGGCGAGGAACTGATCTAAATGAGTGAAGATGGCTCTGAAGCTACAAAAAGAAAACAGATTGCATAATGTGTATTGAACACATAAAGAATAGCTCAGTAACATAGTAAAAAGAAAATAAGAGCTATGTTTATGATTTAGTTGTCATAACAAAATTGGGAATTTTTTAAACTACCTTTCATGAAATAAAACTTTCCAAATTATTTTATATTTTATAAGCAATATTTAAAGAAAACACACATTTTAAATCATTATAGTCGCAATGAAACAGGATGAATAAAATGCCTGGATTCTACAGTGCTCCAATATGGACATATTATAGTTTTATTTATTTTGCATTTGAGGAGTTACTCCTCAGTGCTGAGTTACATTGTTCTGGATCCTTGGTCTTCCACCATTGCACTTGACCTTCAGCCTGTATTTGTCTTAAACAAACATATAGATATTTGTACCATCCTGGATCCGACTGCAGCTCAAACAAAAGGCTACACAAAGACTGGTCTTTACATCATTATTGCACATCTACATTTGGTTCAGGAAACAGGCGATAAATTGATGTCCGAGATACTCATGCTGGTGTATGTCCAAGGTCCACAATTTCAAAATTCTTTGATGCATGTTCAAAATCATCCAGCAGCACATTATTCTCAAGCAGTCTATATAATGAAAACAATGTAGATGTGATACAATGAATTGGTAGGTTAAAACCACATTGCTGCTAACATTATTACGGAAATGGCATTGGCTAAAATTGCACAGATCGTATAGTTGGGTAATTTTTTTGACATTGGGGTCAAACACAAAACTCTTACCCATGATGGGAGCTGCCTGAATTTTATTTCATCGAATAAAACTCTATTGTACTAAATTGATCACTAGATTATCATTGAAAACAAAATCTTCACGTAAAGAGTCTCCTCAATAAATAAAATGCAAAATATTTTTGAAAAACAGTTACTGCCAAAGAAATCTAACTAATAATAATTGTTTGTATAATTAGTACAGGAATACTTTATTTTAATTATACAACACATTTTAGAAAGTTATAGGACTGAAGAGTTTGATGATAATTTTGAGCTATTAAGATGTCTCAGTAATGGTTTGTTTATTGAAATCTCCGGAAAGTATGTTGTTAAATTAATTCAGCATCACATGTCACCCTCCACCCTCATTCCATTGACAGTCTTGACTACAGTGATTATTTACCTTCAACTGATGCTTTCAGTGAACTGATCAGCCTGGAGGTTTGCAGCAATGCACTGACATAATTCTGTCATTGTTCAGGAGGACAACAGGAACAACGGGTTATTACCAATTTTAAAAATAAGCTATATCTTTATTTGGAAATCCATTGGTGATGATAAAATAAGCTTTTATTACAATACCAGTTGCAGGTTACTGGTTCCTTAACTGGTCACATCTGTTCATTTATTATATACTTTGCATAAACAGATCAGGTTAAGGGTTCCCTTTGCTTTTAATGCAGAGTTATATTTCATCAAGCTAAGTATTTCTATCACATCTTCAGAAAATGCCCCTGTGTTAGATTATTTAGAATTCTCCTTGCAGTTAGCACTACTGCATTATTGATGTTGTGAGAGGATCTCCTCTGCATTTTATGTATATGTATCTAAAACTATTTATTATGAACACACTGTTTTTCCTGCAAACAGTGGGCAAAGTATATTTTCTCCATGATCCTTAATTAATTCCAGGTTTATTGTCATTCCTCCAAGTTAACAGCACTACTAAAATAATGAGCAGAGGAATTTCAGAAAACACATTTAAGCATTCATATCTTAGCATCTTGTACCAAATTCCCAGGGCCACATGACTGAACATCAGAAAAAAGATGGCACTGTTTGTTTCTGTTTCATTCTGAACAAGCTAAGTTCAAGCCAGTAATATTATAGAGGAAAATCAAACTGCACAGGGACAGTTCTCAAGATAAATTCAATAACGGCCAATCAAAAGACTTATTTACAATGGCTCATGAATGAATTAGGTTATTGAAACAGTTGTGCCACCTTTATTTCTGCTATATTAGATTTTGAGATCCAGACTTGAACATGCAATCTGAATCTAATGTAACTGGCGTCCTTATATGTCCATGGGACAGTGAAGCTGCTCATAGATATAATCAGTGAAATTCCAAATGTAATCATTTTTATTGCCACATTTAAAATTTGAAGCATTTTGGAATTTAAGGAATGTTTCTCTTTCAGGTAGACAGTGCAACACATAGTGTACACGTTCAATATGAGTGATGAAGTTTTTCTTTACACATGAGCTTATATATATACACACATATATGTGTATATATAGTATTTATCAATGTGTATATGTATACATACACACACAAGGTATTTATCTTTAATCATCCATATTTTGCTGTGCATGTGTATTTGTGTGTGTATTACACGTACACATATACACACACATAAATATAGATCTATGTTGTAACCTGAATCAACTTGGAAAAGTCAGCCTCCAAACTACAATGCATAGTCAATGTCCAAAAGATACGAATATCATATATTCCGCTTGGTACAGGAGAAGCATTTGTGCTTGCTGCTGCAAGGCATATGTACACAACAAAGTTCATTACTGCTTATATCTTAGCTGCTGAAGAAATGATGGAACTAATGGAAAACGTACAATAGAAACTTCTTAATAACCAAGGCTAGCTGATATAAAGCAAAAGACAATTTACTTGTATCAAAAGTCATATCTGTCTTCTTTTTTAATTTCTTGTGGAGTACCTAAGGTGCGGTATATTGTAACCATTTCTTTTTCATCAGACTGGATTAAAAACATTTCGATCACATCATATGTTGTTTGCTTTATGCTGTAAATCCATTACATTGGTCTACATTGTCTACTATAGTGACAGCCATGGCTGATCGTTCCATTGTTGCCTCTGTATAGAGGGTTATGTACCACTCCAAAGACTTTGTGTACAAAATCTAGGCTGACATTCCAGTGCGGTACTGAAGGAGTGTTGGAGGTGCTATCTTTTAGATGAGACATTAAACAAAATATCTGTTTGTGTGCTCTTATGTGTCCAACATGTATTCTTCAATTAGCATTTCTAAAACAGATATCTGGTCATTTTCACTTTGCTATTTGTGGGAGCTTGCTGTGTGCAATTTTTCTTTTACCGAGCTTTCCTAATATAACAACAGCAATTACACTTTGAAGCACTTAATTGACTATAAATTGTTTTGGGACATTCTGAGATCATGAAAGGTGCTATATAAATGCAATTTCTTCTTTATTGAATATGGATATGGATATGAATACTATATGCACTATATATGAAGAAAATTGCTATACTTATTTTACAACTGTTCCCGTGGCTCATATATTGGAAAGACAACCAGAAGTATGGCTGATTATAATATCACTCTTAATTTCATTAAAAAAAAGATTTATTATCATTGGTATTGTAGAAAATAAAACAAAACTTAGAAGTCACCTTGATTTTTCTTTCCTTAAAATCATGGTAACTATTTATCTCTTAGCTCTTTCATGCATCTTGAGAGATAGAAATATTATTTAATTACACAAATGGCTAGGTCAAAAAGCAACGTAGCAGCTTCCCATTCCATTAGCATGCTTTTTGTCTAGATAAAATTAAAACATACACTACAAAACTTTCTTTGGTTTCAGTAGAAGTTCTACCTCAACTTTGTTGGATATCTTTGTTTCACTGTGGAACACTACAAAGCTCACTCCTGTTGGTGCTAAAATATATGATAGTTTGGTTATTTGAAATCTTTATTTGAAGTGACCATTTTACTTCTTCCTCTCCTAAAGGTACTAACTCTCTTTGGTCTATGTGTTGTATAGTTATAAATCACATCCCATTACTTCTCCCAAATGGTCATTATGCCTGATTGAATCTGTACAGGGAGTGCCAGCACATAATTCAGACATAGGGGTGGTGTGGGTGTGGGCAAAATTTATTCCAGATTAATCCCATCTGTACCTGACATCTACCATTGCAAACTTCCCAAAAAGACTGAATAGAGAGCAATGATTAACAACTTTTGCCTTTTTTTAACTCAAAGGTCAGTTACCCCACCCAAAGTCAGATCAAAGAAATCTGATCTTTATGGATCTATACCGCATCAGGGAGTTTGATAATTCCCTAAAACATTTGTAAATGCCAATTCTATTTGATACTTAATAGAAGACTTTTATTCCCTCATGATTTAGTTAATGTAACTGCTGACAAAACCTCTCAAAGTTCCACAATATATGCATGGTATTTCACTTAAAAATGAAAGGACAATTGAAAACAGAAAAGAAAGAGGAAGTTTAACTGTATGAGTAAATACAGACTGCATAGTTCCTGTTTATGAATAGTCTTTATCAAAAATCAATTGATACTGACCGCTGGACAGACTTATCATTTCTGGACAGCCTGTGACTTGTAGTCGGGACTTCTTCAATTTCATCAATATCACATGCATCTGCTGCGTCCTGTGAGTAGCTGTGCTTCATGACTAGGATACTCCGCCTGCTTAAAGACTGGACACTGGGCTTCACTGGCTGTGGCTGTATGTCTGAGAGGATGGTGGCATCACGGGTGCTGAGGTTACTACGGCTACCTTTAATGCTTGATATCTGGGAACCACAGTGATGGTCGTGTATGCATTTAGAAGATGATCGCCTCAGTTTATGGTAATTCTCAAAGTCGTCGACAATGTCCCCTAGGTCAGCTGCAGCCCCTTTTCCTTTTAGTGAACAGAGTTCGTACTGCGTAGGCTCAAAAACCTCCTGAAAAACTGTTTGGTCAAAGTCTGGTTTTCTTTGGATGTATTTTTTGCGTGGCTGTTTGATCTGAACTATTACAGAGATAACAATGAGAATAATCACAATGAAAGATGTGACTCCAATTATAGTCCCACTGGTATTGGTAAGCTGGTCCAGTAGATTAGCCTTTCTTTTCTCTGTGTGAGAGAAAGAAAAATAAAATTAATACAATATTTAATTTAGAGTCCCATTTTTTTTTAAAAAAGAAACTCGACTTAAAGCTGCAGTAAACCTTTCTCAGGCAGCAACCTAAACTCAAAATCGCACAAACACAGAGAATAGGAACAGAGATAGGCCATTCAGTCCTTCAAGCATGCTCCATCATTCAATATGATCATGGCTAATAATCTAACTCTGTACCCTGTTCCTGGTAGTTTTTTTGTTGATGGCAACAAGTAAAAGTACCAACAATTTATGCCCCACTTAAGAGTAATTGTCTTCACTCAAATAGAAGAATTACCATTTAAAAGACAGTGGTACAATATATCACAGTTATTATAATAGTCTGTTGTGGTCAAAATCTCTGAGCTTCAGTCAATGTTCTGAATGTTCAACATGGTTGACCAGTAAATCTTCAGCTCAAGGAAATGACTTCTGCAGGAAGTTTGAGCTTTTCTGCATATTCCTTTACTACACATTAGCTTTATAAACTGCTGATTATGAATTTAATAAAACTCAGATATCTAAGCAATTATTAGACAGTAAAATAAAAGTAAGAAATACAAAGAGAGTGATAATGTCTATTTGACATCTCTATTTCTCCTTTATCATCATTAGCTTTGCCTTTATCTCACCATCTGTTCCACTCGTTTCTCCTCTCATCTATCAACACAATAAAGATCATTACATTCCATCCCCTTTCAATTCTGAAGAAGAGTCACATTAGAGTCAAAATATTAACTCTGTTTCTCTCTCCACAGATGCTGCCAGGCCTGCAATGTTTCTCCTGCATATTCTGTTTTTATATTAGACAGTATCTTAACGTATCAACAAAGTGACCTTGAATCTGGACTGACAAATAAAGGACAACTGTAATCCATTCCATTTTTTAAGGATCATTTATAGAATATCTTCACAACACCAAATGATTTGTGGTGTGGTATTAATGAACAAGTTATGTTAATGTTATAAAATAAAACAGAACCATAGATGCTGGAAATCGGAAACAAAAACAGAAAGTGCTGGAGAAATTCTGCAGTTTTGGCAGCATTTGTAGACAGAAAAATATAATTTTGAGTCCAGTGACCTTTAGAGAAAGTTACACTATGTATTGTATTTGTACTAATCACACAAACTCTGTCTACCATTTTCGAACTGCTTAATGCATGGTTGGAAACGTGTGAGACTATGACAGAGATTTTACCCAAGTTGGATTTAAGACTCTATTGATGATGCTGGGCCTTTAAAAAATTATCTGACCTTCAGAAAAGTCAAAAGCTGAGAAATAAAAGTAGCATTGACAAAGTTGTAGGATGGTTGTAACTAATAATGGCTTGGTTTAAGTGATGTCGTACAGAGAGTCTTTGACATCGAATTAATGCTGCATCAGATCTGATGCTGGTGCTATATAACAAAAATGCAAAATAATCTAATCACAATTAATTAAATAAACATGGATGCAAAATACGTGGCTGTTGCAGCCAAGTTTTGAATGTCACCTCGTCTCCAAAAAGACCACAAATACACAGGAGAGGAGGCTGATATTGTGATTATTGCTGGAAAACACAAACTTGTAGGATTTGGATTATGTCTGCAAGCTAATGTGTTATATCCGATATTCAGTATTAAGATCCCAATGGTCATGGCTGCTGAATTTCAGTTGTAACTTGATTACAGTAATCGTGGGGTGAGTTTTCTTCTCAGCCATATTTATTTCTTTTATTGTTGATGCAACATGACATCAGTAGCTACATCAGTTTTTGTTCCCCATCATAATTGCCCTGGTGAAAGTGCTTGTGAACTGCCTTCTTGAATTGCTGCAAGTCTGCAGCATGTAGCGACACCCTACAATACTATTAGGGAGAGAGTTCTAGAATGTCGACCAAGCAACAATTGAAGGAATGGCAATATAGTTCCACGTCAGGATGGTATGTAACTTGGAGTAGAACTTGCAAGTTATGGTGCATCCGTGTATCAGCTGAGATTGTGAGTTTGGTGGGTGCTCTTGACAGAGCCTTGGTGACTATTATAGTACACCTTGTAGATATTAGTTGCCACAGTGCTTCAGGGAAAGAATGTTAAAGGTAGCAGGTGAAGTCCCAAAATCAAGTGGGGTCTTCGTCCTGGCTAGTGTCAAAAGCCTTGAGTGTTGTTGGAGCTGCACTCATCCAAGCAAATGGAGAATATTCCATCACTCTCTTGACTATGGCTTGTAGATGGTGGACAGGCTTTGTGTAGTCAGGAGGTGAGCTACTTACTGTAGAATTCCTAGCCCCTGACCTCTTCTTGCAAACACTGTACTTATATGCTGGTCCTATTCAGTATCTGGAGAATGGTAACCCCCAGCATAATGATAGTGGGGGTTCAGTGTTGTAATGTCATTGATTGTCAAGGGCTGATGGTTCAATTCTTGCTTAATGAAGATGGTTGATGCATAAATCTTACTTCTGAAGTCTTGGATGCTGTTCATTTCTTGCTGAACATGGAAACAAATACTTCAGCATCGGAGGAGCTGAGAAGGCACTGAGCATTGTGTAATCACCAGCAAACAAACCCACTCCAGACCATATGATAGATGGAAGCTCTTTAATCCAGCATCTTAAGATGGTTAGGCCTAGGCCACGCACCTCAGGAACTTCCTTCAGTGTTGTTCTCAGACTAATACAATTAACCTTGAACAGCAGCAACCATTTTCCTTTGTATAGGCATGATCTCAACCACAATGGAGGTTTCCCCTGATTCCAATGGACTCCGGTGCTCACTGTTATGAGGGGGTAAAATAAGACTTCAACTTCTATCAGAGATAACCTACTCCTCCACACATTGGATTGTTCCAGTCCTCACTGATTAATTAGTTTGACGTCAATACAGTAATGTGAACTTGAGGTACAGTTGCAGTTTAAAGTTAGGGCTGAGATATTGGGAGGATGTTAACTTTTTAAGACTCTGACTGATGATTACTGCTAAACAATCTATCCAAAACTGAAAATAGTAGTTTACATGTAAGGGTACACATTCCCTCAGAAGAAAATCAGTTTAAGTGATCTTATCTTAAATTAATTTTTAAGAAGTGTTTTTCTTTTTACATTTTTCTACCTGTCTTGTCTTACTTTCTTTTTTAATCCCATCCACAGTGTCCTACCTTATTTTGTTTTTCTGCATTTCAAATCTAACTTATATTGCATGTTTCCTGGATTCAGCTCTGTGTGGGTCAGTAAGCATTCTGCAATCTGAATAGCCTTACTGTTTGTTCTTTTTCACAGAAACACTTTCTGAGGGTGCAATGCAGGATCAGATATTAAAGCAGTACATGCCTGTGCTGCGAAGATCATAATAACTTTTTAGGTAGTCACCAATGAACAATATATTCGTTAGATTGTAACTTCAAGTTCTGAACCATTGGATCAAATTCACTTTAGGAAAGATGTCAAGGCCTTGGAAAGAATACTGAAAAGACTTGCCATAATGGTATCAGGGATGTGGAGTTTTCAATTCTGTGGCAAGCCTAGAGAAGCAGGAATTGTTCTCCTTAGAGCAGAAAAGGTTATGGGAGATGTAAAGGAGTTGTTCACGATTGTGAGAGGTTTAGATAAGTGGATAGGAAGAAATTATTTCTACCGTCAAGAGGGACACTGATCTAAGATAATTGATGAAATACAAAAAATACAGACAGATGAAATTTAGACAGCAAGTTATTCTGATCTGGAAGAAGAGTCAACAGATTAGTGCAGCATGATGGCTCAGTGGTTAGCACTGCTGCCTCACACCACCAGGGACCTGGGTTCAATTCCAGCCTTGGGTAACTGTCTGTGTGGAGTTTACACATTCTCCCTGTGTCTACATGGGTTTCCTCCCACATTCCAAAGATGTGCAGGTTAGGTGGATTGGCCATGCTAAATTGCCCATAGTGTTCAGGGATGTTTAGGTTAGGTGGATTAGACATGGGGAATGGGTCTGGGTGGGGTGTTCTTCAGAGGGGCAGTGTGGACTTGTTGGGTCAAATAGCCTGTTTCCACACTGTAGGGAATGTATGATTACTGAATTAATTTAATTTAGATAATTTTCAAAAGGAAACTGAATAAATATTTGAATAGGATATATTTGCAGGGTTGGGGAAAAGAAGGAATGCAGATTAATTGAGTAACCACTCAAACAGTGGCTACGGATGTGATGGGCTGAATGGCTTTCTATTTGCTGTATGATTCTGCTATTCAATAATTTATTTTATTCTACACCAATTTATTCCTGATGTGGAGGTGCTGGTGTTGGACAGGGGTGGACAAAGTCAGAAGTTACACGACACCAGGTTATAGTCCAACAGGTTTATTTATTCTTAGCCTGAAGAAATTATCAGCCAGTTTCTAAATTCATGTAGGTGTTTGTTGGAAAACGGCTGCTATTTTAAGGGTATTATCGTAAGTTAGAAAATAACAAATGGGGGAAGAAGTGGCATTAATTGAAATAAAAAGCAGCGATCTGAAGGTTACATAGATATTAATTACCAAGTGGTTCTAACATGTCTTTTTCACAATTACTAAGTGAATGTACAATATATACTGGTACAGTGTGCAAGCTTGAATATAAACACGTTAAAAATATTCATAGTGATAATTTTTGATAAGTAAGAACTATATTTTCTCTGGTTAGGAGCAAAAATAGGATTAAAGCTTTACTTCTCTTCATTCAGTTGTGGGAAATGTGTGCCCCTTGAAAATCTGGTCCATTTACAGAATGTTGGAACCATTCTCCAAGTAGACTCCAACTATTACAAATCACCCTTCACGTCTTCTCAGGCAGCAGGTGAAGCACTTAACCAGCATAAATATTACAAAGTTCATTAATTCAGCAGTGGAGTGCCAAATAACTGATTAAAATTATGCAAATTCAAAGTTACATAAGAGGCATTTCTTATTCAGGCACGCACTACTGTTTATGGGAGTTCGCTTAAAACTATCCACACAATCCTCACATCCAAAAA